GCCACCAACCAGTTCCTCCCTTCAGTCTCAGTCAGCTTTTCAATTAATAAAGAAGAGTGTATTTTATTTCAGACACAAACAAAACTTTTACAGCATTCCAAACATTGTTGCTCTTTACTTTCTTAGTCTTAGTATCCTCTCTCTTCTACTTCCCCACACTCAAGAACCCACTGCCCTAACTGTCTCTCTATTCACAACTCCTTCTCCAACTGCCTTTCCCAACCAGCCAACCCACTAAAACCAACCAACTGTCCACCAACAACTCCCAACGAATTCCTCCCAGAACTAGTTTTATAGACCCACTGACTCCACCCCCCTAGGTCCTGTCTGTGCAACCTATTTAACTATTTCCCTTCCAGCACTCTCTCATATATGTTAACGACACACACACCTTTTTGCATCTTTTTTTCTTTTAGTCTTCCTTCTCAAATTCTTCCTTTTTCCCCAATGTAGGTTTTGTGTGCACACTCAGGAAGCATACCTGATTGAGATGCTCCCTTGTCAACCTTTGCCAGGTTTTCACTCTCCAAAAGGTATCAAATGACCACTCTAAGGCACAAGTGGTGCATGACTGAGCAAGAGAGATGAGCAGAGCCTTGTTTGTGGTACAGCATTTCAATTTTAAATATTCTGATTATTATTTCACTTTTAGTGAAATGTTTTTACATATCAGCTACTCCCTCCCTGTTTCATGTCATCTGCAAATCGTGTCATCTATTCCTTCATCTAAGTCATTTACAAAGACGCTAAAGAACAATGGGCCCAGGATAGAACCCTGTGACACCCAGCTTGTCACTTTTTTCCAGTATGATGAGGAACCATTAGAGAGCACTCTTTGGGTTCTGCTAGTCAACCAGCTACAAATCCACCTAACAGTAAAATTGTCTAGCCCACATATTACCACTTTCTCTTCAAGGATAACAAAAAGTAGTTTAAAAAGAAGTAACTTGTTCCATCTGACCTGAATCTTTCAATATTCATCTCCACTGGATGTTCCCAAAGGTCTAGTATTATGGGAGGAAAACTGTTCCCCATCCATTTTCTCCACACCACACATCAGTTTATACACATCAGCCATTCACCTTCTATCTCTTTCTCTAAACTAAAATCCCTCAAACATTGTCCACTTTCCTTGTAGTGGAGTTCTTCCACCCCCTTGGTCATTTTGGTTGCCCATTTTTGGTACTTCTCCAACTCCCAAATATCCTTTTCAGGATGAGACAACCTAGAAATTAACCTATGGCCATTTATCATCAGTATGCGGATGATACCCAACTCTACCTCTCTTTTAAATCGGAACCAGTAAATGGAGTGAAGGTCCTGTGTGAGTGTCTGGAGGCAGTTGGAGGATGGATGGCAGCTAACAGATTGAGGTTGAATCCTGACAAGACAGAAGTACTGTTTCTGGGGGACAGGGGGCGGGTGGGTGTGGTGGACACCCTGGTCCTGAATGGGGTAACTGCCTCTGAAGGACTAGGTGTGCAGCCTAGGAGTCATTTTGGACTCACAGATGTCCATGGAGGCGCAGGTCAATTCTGTATCCAGGGCAGCTGTCTATAAGCTCTATCTTGTACACAGGCTGAGACCCCACCTGCCTGCAGACTGTCTCACCAGAGTGGTGCATGCTCTGGTTATCTCCCGCTTGGACTACTGCAATGTGCTCTATGTGGGGCTACCTTTGAAGGTGACCCAGGAACTACAACTAATCCAGAATTCAGCAGCTACCCTGGTGACTGGGAGTGGCCACTGAGACCACATAATACCAGTCCTGAAAGACCTACATTGGCTCCCAGTACATTTCCGGGCAGAATTCAAAGTGTTGGTGCTGACCTTTAAAGCCCCAAACAGCCTCGGCCCAGTATACCTGAAGGAGCGTCTCCACCCCCATCATTCTGCCTGGACACTGAGGTCCAGCACCAAAGGCCTTCTGGCGATTCCCTCACTGCAAGAAGCAAAGTTACAGGGAAACAGGGAGAGGGCCTTCTCGATAGTGGCACCTGCCCTGTGGAATGCCCTCCCATCAGATGTCAAAGAAATAAAAAACTATCAGACTTTTAGAAGACATCTGAAGGCAGCCCTGTTTAGGGACAATTTTAATATTTGAGGAATTATTGTATTTTAATATTCTGCTGGAAGCCACCCAGAGTGGCTGGGGAAACCCAGCCAGATTGGAGGGGCATAAATAATCAACTTTTATTATTATTATTATTATTATTATTATTATTAGCTATCTCTTCTGTCCTATTATTTTTGGGGAGGTGGGGCGATAAGAAGGGCCATTTGGATCCGGCCAATGGCCCATTCAGCCCAGCATCCAATTCTCACACCATTCAGCTAGATGCCTGTGGGAAACATGCAAGCAGGACCCGAACACAAGAGCACTCCCCCCCCCCCCGCCGCTTCCAGTAACTGCTATGAAGAAGCATTCCTGCCTCCCACTGTAGAAGAAGAGTATAGCCTTCATGGTTACCAGCCATTGATGACACATTACCAGAGAAACTGGTAATATTTGGGCTAGACAATGTTACTGTTAGGTGGATTTGTAGCTGGTTGACTTGCAGAACCCAAAGAGTGCTCTCCAATGGTTCTTCAGCATCCTGGAAAAAAGTGACAAGTAGGGTGCCACAGGGTTCTGTCCTGGCCCCATTGTTGTCCAATGCCATTATAAATGACTTGGATGAAGGAATTGAGAAGATGCTCATTCAATTTGCAGATGACACCAAACAAGGAGGGGGTAGCTAATAGAATCAGGATTCAACAGGACCATAGCAGATTAGAAAATATGGCCAAAACCAACAAAATGAATTTCAAAAGGGTTCAATGCAAGGTTCTACACTTAGGGAGGAATAATCTCATGCTTTTACTCCAGCAATATGCAGTTTGCTTTCTGATCTTTTAATGTTTGAAGCTGCTCCTTCTTTTGTGTTTTGTGAATCACCCTGAGATGTGTGTGGAAGACAACAGCAGCAACAACAACAAAAACCAAAAACTCATTTAAGACCTGTTAATTGCAAGACTATAAGGGAAAGAATTAGAAGGGTTCAAAGTTCTGTTCTGCCCCCTGGCTATATTGAAGTTCAGTACCTTTTTAAAAAGCATTTATTAATTTAAGAAAAAACCAGAAATCTTCCTCCTGGGAATAATGTCACCAGAAATCAAAAAATAAATTACAGTAGACCACTTTTTATATACACAACAGTAGCATCCAGGATCTTAATTGCAAGAAACTGGAAAAGTGACAAAACACCTACGATAAATGAATGGCAGGTCCAAAAGATAGAATATTTACAGATGGCCATGATAACAGCAAGAATTAGAGGTTATCCAAAACAGAAAGTACAGAAAGAATGGAAAATCTTTAAAGAGTATCTGGAAAAACATTACAATAATAAATATCTCCTGGCAGAAATAGAATGATCCTTGTAGAAAAACAAATATATATTTTTTATATCTGATGAAAACAAAGAAAGTAATACAATAATTTGGAACTGTGTGTGAGAAAATAGTAGAAATAATAATATAATGAGTCTAATTGTAAGTCAAATGTGTTTATTTTGTGTTTTTTCCCCCTTCTTTCTATTTTCCTCCCCCCCCCTTTCCCCACTTTTCTTCTTCCTTTTCTCTTTTCGTTTTTGTGCCTCGTTTCTTGGTCGTTCTCTTTTTGATTTGTTAAGAAAGAGAGAAAGCGATAAAAGTGTAATATGAAAACTTCAGTAAGTTAAAAGTGATGTGTAATTTTTCTGTTACTATTTATATACAGTGGTACCTCAGGTTACACACGCTTCAGATTACAGACACTTCAGGTTACAGAATCTGCTAACCCAAAAATAGTACCTTGGGTTAAGAACTTTGCTTCAGGATGAGAACAGAAATCGCATGGCGGCAGCGGGAGGCCCCATTAGCTAAGTGGTGCTTCAGGTTAAGAACAGTTTCAGGTTAAGAACAGACCTCCAGAACGAATTAAGTTCTTAACCCGAGGTACCACTGTATTGTTAAAATCGGTTAATTGTAATGAATTGATGCAACACTTACTGTGGGTTTTTCCTTTGTTATTGTTGAATTCTAAATAAAGTAGAGATGTTGCAAAAATAAAATAAAAATAAAAAACATTTATCATGACGAGCCATAATTACGGACAGCTATGTCATTCAGGAGATTTTCCTTCCTTTGGCATGCATGCAATTTAACCCAGCATCCTGTTTCTGACAGATTGGAGGCTCAGAGGTTTAAAAATAAATGAATGCTAACGTATCTGGAATCTGGCCTCAGGTACATGGGCGTAGCAAGAGGGGCAGGTCTAAACTATGGTCTAAATCTCCCTTTAAATCCATCTCATCCAAAAGAAGGGAAATCACCTTGAAACATTGTGCATCCAGTATGTAGAAGAATGAAAGTTTACTACTCCCTATCCCCACCCTCTTCCCCCGCACTTCTCCCCCAACCTTATACTGTATACAAGATTAAGGCTAACATTGAATTTAACTGATCTGTAAAAAGAACATTATGATCAGAAAACGGAGGTGATGTATGTGCTTTTGTAACGTAAGAAAACCCAAGAAATTTTTTATGAAAACATTTTAATGAAAACTTCATCTCAACACGGACTTGCATTTAGCTATGAGGCCCGTACGTCAGAAGAAGAGCCTATGCTTTGAATATGCAAGGGCTTAAGTTCCATCCCTGAGATCTCTGGATAGGAATGGGACTCGTGTCTGAAGCCTTGGAAATCTTGGGCCAGGCAGTGCACACAAGTCCTCTTCCACCTCAGACAAGGACTCCCACCATTCCTGACTACAAGCTTAAGCTGGCTGGGGATGTTGTGAACTTCAGGCAATGAACACCCGGTATGTAAAGCCGAAGAGCTCTGGGACAGATACTATGGAACTGGATTGATCAGTGGCCGGACTTGACACTCCTGAGTAGAACATCACACATTGCTCCTTTGCCAAACCCATGAAATTGCTGTTGATGTTCCGATGGATGAAATATCTGCATGGGAGTATTACTTAATTAACCAGCCTACAGCCTATTAAGTAGCGTAGATACTTCTGGTGTAGCCACACAGTAGAAATTCTTCCAGTGTAGACTCAATGTTTCCCTTGCACTCTTTGGAACAGTGAAATGGGGCTTCTTCTGGGCCTCCTACTTGGGGTAATTGGAGTTATCGGAATTCTTTTCCTGTTGCTCTTCTCCTTTGCAATTTATTATGATCTTTCCAGGAGTAAAATCCCATCTGGATTTGACAATCCATTAAAGCTTCGGGTCATTCACTGTACTGCCATTATTGCATTTACTGCGGTAAGTTGGGGACTGGACGAGCCATTATGTGATGGTTCTTCTTATGTTCTTATGTGAAAGGTGATTAAGAAATGTGCCGTAATTATTCTTATTCTTAGTAGTGATCTTTACACATCTTTAGATGCCAGGCAAAAACATTTCTAAGTCCTTTCAAATTTGTTTGAGGGAGAGGTGTTATTAGTTTCTACATCTTTTATGTACAGTGGTGCCCCGCAAGACGAAATTAATTCGTTCCGCAATTTTTGTCGTCTAGCGAATTTTTCGTCTTGCGAAGCACGGTTTCCCATAGGAATGCATTGAAAATCAATTAATGCGTTCCTAGGGAAACCGCTTGCCAGGCTGGCGGTGCGGAGAAGGGCTTTTCTCCCCACCGCAAGCCTTCAGCACAGGTACGGGAACAGAGGGGAAGGCGCGCAGCGCTTTCCCTCTGTTCCCGGGGCTTGCGTGGGAGGAGGGTTTTTCCTCCCCACCGCCAACATTCAGAACAGCATTCTGAATGTTGGCGGTGGGAAGGAAAACCCTTCTCCCACCCCAAGTCTTCAGGACAGCCATCCGAAGGCTGGCGCGGGGAGAAGGTCTCTCCGCCCCCCCCCCACGCCAGGCTTCGGTGCATCCTTCAGAGGCTGCTGCCATAGTCATGCGTCACTTCTCCAGCTGGGAGAGGGTCGCGGGGCTATGGTTTCTTTAGCCCCGCGCGCGCTCTCCCGGCTGGAGAGGTGACGGGCGCCTATGGAGGTTCCTGCCATATGCGCGCGTCACAACTCCAGCTGGGAGAGGGTCGCGGGGGGCTGGTTTAGCCCCGCGCGCGCTCTCCTGGCTGGAGAGGTGACGGGCGCCTATGGAGGCTCCTGCCATAGGCGCGCGTCACTTCTCCAGCTGGGAGAGGGTCGCGGGGGGGCTGGTTTAGCCCCGCGCGCGCTCTCCCGGCTGGAGAGGTGACGGGCGCCTATGGAGGCTCCTGCCATAGGCGCGCGTCACTTCTCCAGCTGGGAGAGGGTCGCGGGGCTATGGTTTCTTTAGCCCCGCGCGCGCTCTCCCGGCTGGAGAGGTGACGGGCGCCTATGGAGGTTCCTGCCATATGCGCGCGTCACAACTCCAGCTGGGAGAGGGTCGCGGGGGGCTGGTTTAGCCCCGCGCGCGATCTCCTGGCTGGAGAGGTGACGGGCGCCTATGGAGGCTCCTGCCATAGGCGCGCGTCACTTCTCCAGCTGGGAGAGGGTCGCGGGGGGCTGGTTTAGCCCCGCGCGCGCTCTCCCGGCTGGAGAGGTGACGGGCGCCTATGGAGGCTCCTGCCATAGGCGCGCGTCACTTCTCCAGCTGGGAGAGGGTCGCGGGGGCTGGTTTAGCCCCACGCGCGCTCTCCTGGCTGGAGAGGTGACGGGCGCCTATGGAGGCTCCTATGGAGCTGTTCCTGGAACAGCTTTCCGAAGTGGGGCGGCTGGGGCAGATGTCCCCGCCCCCCCTCCCCGCTTCGGAACAGCTTTCCGAAGTGGGGCGGCTGGGGCAGGTGACCCCGCCCCCCCGCCCCACTTCGGAACAGCTGCAAAAGACGTCAGGGGGAAGCGGGGAAGCGAAGCGCTTCGCTTCCCCGCTTCCCCCGACGTCTTTTGCAGCAAGGGGCTGCAGGGAGATCGCTATCTCCCCCCAGCCCCTTGCTTCAGAAGAGGTCCGGGGGAAGCGGGGAAGCGAAGCGCTTCGCTTCCCCGCTTCCCCCGGACGTCTTTTGCAGCAAGGGGCTGCAGGGAGATCGCTATCTCCCCGCAGCCCCTTGCTTCAAAAGAGAAGACCCGCTGTCCCCGGGGCAAGCTTCGTTTTGCGAAGCAAGCCCATAGGGGAATTCGTCTTGCGAGGCAAATCGCGGACGAAAAAACCTTTCGTCTAGCGAGTTTTTTTGTCTTGCGAGGCGTTCGTCTTGCGGGGCACTACTGTATAACATTTCTATATCTTTTGTGTTTTTATCTTGTTTTTTTTATGCTGTGAACCACCCATTGATCCTTCCATGAAGGAGAATATTTTTAATTAATAATAATAGTTTATATATTTAAGTAATTCATATACTGCTTAATCCAACATGCATAATGAAATCAGTAAAATCAATGAATTCACTTGATGATGATGTGATGAAGATATTATCAAATTCAACAAGGGCTTCCTTTTCAACCTATAGAGGGACACACATAAATACAAATATATTATTCACACTAAGCCATGGTTTGTTTGCATCATGGTTTCTTCAGGAAAGCACATATGGTCTCAAAGCCAAGGAAGCAGGTTGTGGATTGTTTCTCCAAAGCTTAGCTTGTTTCCCAGCTTCTTTTGCCTCTGTACCTTGGTGTGTGTTTGGGTTGGGGTAACCAATTCAAAGCTAACCAATTGAAAATAATGGACATTGTTAACATGGGCTCATTCATTTCCATGGGCTTCTTTAACTAGGACTTATTTGGATTCCACCCCCTGTGAATAGGATGCAAATGTGGGCACTATTTTCATGAGACTTTTCCTTTGCCCAACAGGGGAAGTGTCTTGAACTGCTGGGTATCTGCAGACAGGTTGCCTTTATCCGCTTCCTCCAGAGTTTCTGGAATCCAAGAGCGGATCCCAGCCTCTCTGCCAAAGATCTGCATTTTGACGGGGTTCCTGTGAGGGTTTATCAGCCCAAAGCACCATCTGCTGGCCCAAGGAAAGGATTAATGTTCTTCCATGGAGGTGCTGGGATGGTTGGAAGCATTGGTAAGAGATTAAGGCTGTGAGCCTATGAACACTTCTCTAGAGGCAAGCCCCATTGAACTCAAGTAAGCCCATGTAGAATCATGGAATAGGAGAGTTGGGAGGGATCCCAAGGGGTCATCTAGCTCAACACTCTGCCGTGAAGGTATCACAGCTGAAGAAGCCCTGACAGATGGCCATCCAACCTCTGTTTTGAAACCTCCAGTCAAAGAGAGCCCATCACCTTCCAAGGGAGTCCGCTCCCTGTTCAGCAACTCTTGTCATCAGAAAAGGCAAGTCCCATTGAACTCAATAAACCCATGTGGAATGGTTTACAGGGCTGAGATACAAGAGTGTTGGTGGTAGTTCCTGAAGAGACATGGGGCATACATGTATTTTGGATTAGCATATGTTAATTTATACGCATATATGCTTACTTGGGACGCGGGTGGCGCTGTGGGTTAAAGCCTCAGCGCCTAGGACTTGCCGATCGAAAGGTCGGCGGTTCGAATCCCTGCGGCGGGGTGCGCTCCCGTCGTTCGGTCCCAGCGCCTGCCAACCTAGCAGTTCGAACGCACCTTCGGGTGCAAGTAGATAAATAGGGACTGCTTACCAGCGGGAAGGTAAACGGCGTTCCGTGTGCTGCGCTGGCTCGCCAGATGCAGCTTGTCACGCTGGCCACGTGACCCGGAAGTGTCTGCGGACAGCGCTGACCCCCGGCTTCTTGAGTGAGATGGGCGCACAACCCTAGAGTCTGGCAAGACTGGCCCGTACGGGCAGGGGTACCTTTACCTTTACCTTTATGCTTACTTAGGTCAACAGGAACAAAAAAATATGGAAGCTCTTGTTATCATGGCTTCCCAGGTCTCACATCTCCACTGGTCAATGGTCAGGGATTAGGGGAGCTGGGGGAGGGACAGAGCCCCCCACTGCTGATTCATTTTATAACATACATATACCACTTGATTTTATAGATGCTCAAAGAGGTTCACAAACATGCATATAATAACTCGAGGTTGCTGCTCCTGATCGCTCTGTTTACCAACCCCACCCCCCACCCCTGGCCACCCCCTCCTTTGCACCTCACCCAATCCCCCACCTCATCCCACCCCACAGCCACCACACACACCTGTGCCACATAGGTCAACTTTCACAAACACAAATCACAAACCTGCACTTGCACCAGCTTTCATTTGCAAGACCAAATGCAATTTCACAAGTTAGCAATTAATACTGACACTCTTGGGTACTAAGTGAGATTGTGTTGCAACAGTTTATAAAGTAGCAACCTAGTAATCGCATTGCAGCAGAAGCGGTTTTAGTCATGCTGGTCACATGACCCGGAAAGCTGTCTGTGGACAAACGCCATCTCCCTCAGCCTGAAGCAAGATGAGCGCCACACCCCATAGTCACCTTTGACTGGACTTAACCGTCCAGGGGTCCTTTACCTTTTTACCTATAAAGTAGCAGCTTCAGGAGGAAGGAAGGCTAGAATCAAGTGGGGACTCAGGAGAGCTTGCCATTATTAGATACATTGATATTGTGGTGGTGGTGGGAGACAAGGGTGCCCCTCGCAGACCTTGCTTCCTGAAATGCAAGAGCCATGATTCATGTTCATGTTGTGCTGTGATTTATGTCCATGCGTGTCAGTGGGTCTGCTCTGAAGAGTTAGATACAAACAGCCCTGGATTTGCGAAAGAGCTTCATATTTAGAATTTCCATTCCAACTTTCGAGCGCCCTTCCAAGATGTCTGCAGCAAAATCACCAAGGAGACTGATTCTTACAGTGCAGTACTTGAGCTGCGTGAAGTGCACATGTGCATAAAAAGGTTTATGTCAGTTAAAATTGCATGTACAAATACATTATATATTGGAAGACAGCTGTTCAAAAATGTGCTTTTAAAGGCAAGACTGGAGGCAGCAGATAATTACCTCCCTATTTAAAATTTCCCTCTCATCTTGCTAGAGTTCTACCAAGTGGTCTGCAGCAAAATTGCCAAGGAGACTGATTCAGTGGTTGTGTCTGTTGGGTAAGTAAATGCAACCATCTGTCTTTTCATAGGTAAAATGTGTGTGTGTGTGCTTTGCACCCAGCATGTTGTTGCATTTCTTGGTGGCATCCCTTGCCATATTCCTCACAGGAGAAAAAGGCTCCCCATGAAAGCTGTCAACATTTTGTTCCATGATTGCAAATCAGAGCTTCATGCGCCTCAGACATGAGGATGCTCACTTCCGTGGGGGGACTATGACCTGGGCATAAGGCCTTGTTTATTCTCCAGTTACTGCCTGTCTCCTGAGCATTGTTTTATCCGTGCTCCCTTGTGTCTTTTTTTTTTTTGTCATCAATTTGTGTGTCCTTTTACAATTTGTGATTGACCTTTTACTGTGTCAATCAGCTTTTGGTATCCATCAGCATTGGAAGGGCTGGATGCACACACCTATGTGAAGCAGGGGGTGGACCCTTCAGAACCAGGGTTCAAATTTCACACACACTCAGTCAGCTCTTGCCCTCAGGACTCACGAATAATAATAATAATAATAATAATAATAATAATAATAATAATAATAATTTATTATTTGTACCCCGCCCATCTGGCTGGGTTTCCCCAGCCACTCTGGGCGGCTTCCATAGAAACCAAAAACCCCACTAAAATATCATACATTAAAAACTTCCCTGAACAGGGCTGCCTTAAGATGTCTTCTGAATGTCAGGTAGTTGTTTATCGTTTTGACATCTGATGGGAGGGCATTCCACAGGGCAGGCGCCACTACCGAAAAGGCCCTCTGCCTGGTTCCCTGTAGCTTTGCTTCTCGCAATGAGGGAACCGCCAGAAGGCCCTCGGCGCTGGACCTCAGCGTCCGGGCAGAACGATGGGGGTGGAGACGCTCCTTCAGGTATACTGGGCCGAGGCCATTTAGGGCTTTAAAGGTCAACACCAACACTTTGAATTGTGCTCGGAAACGTACTGGGAGCCAATGTAGGTCTTTCAAGACCGGTGTTATGTGGTCTCGGCGGCCGCCCCCAGTCACCAGTCTAGCTGCCGCATTCTGAATTAGCTGTAGTTTCCGAGTCACCTTCAAAGGTAGCCCCACGTAGAGCGCATTGCAGTAGTCCAAGCGGGAGATAACTAGAGCATGCACCACTCTGGCGAGACAGTCCGCGGGCAGGTAGGGTCTCAGCCTGCGTACCAGGTGGAGTTGGTAGACAGCTGCCCTGGATACAGAATTGACCTGCGCCTCCATGGACAGCTGTGAGTCCAAAATGACTCCCAGGCTACGCACCTGGTCCTTCAGGGGCACAGTTACCCCATTCAGGACCAGGGAGTCCTCCACACCAGCCCGCCCCCTGTCCCCCCAAAACAGTACTTCTGTCTTGTCAGGATTCAACTTCAACCCATTAGCCGCCATCCATCCTCCAACCGCCTCCAGGCACTCACACAGGACCTTCACCGCCTTCACTGGCTCTGATTTGAAAGAGAGGTAGAGCTGGGTATCATCTGCATATTGATGGACACCCAGTCCAAACCCCCTGATGATCTCTCCCAGCGGCTTCATATAGATGTTAAAAAGCATGGGGGAGAGGACGGAACCCTGAGGTACCCCACAAGTGAGGGCCCAAGGGTCTGAACACTCATCCCCCACCACCACTTTCTGAACACGGCCCAGGAGGAAGGAGCGGAACCACTGTATAACAGTGCCCCAGCTCCCAACCCCTCTAGACGGTCCAGAAGGATGTTATGGTCGATTGTATCAAAGGCCGCTGAGAGATCCAGCAGAACTAGGAAACAGCTCTCACCTTTGTCCCTAGCTCGCCGGAGATCATCAACCAGTGCGACCAAGGCAGTTTCAGTCCCATGATGAGGCCTGAACCCCGATTGGAAGGGATCCAAATGGTCCGCATCCTCCAGGCGTGCCTGGAGTTGTTCAGCAACCACACGCTCAATCACCTTGCCCAAGAATGGAAGATTTGAGACTGGGCGATAGTTGGCCATACTGGCCGGGTCTAAAGATGGTTTTTTAAGAAGCGGTTTAATGACCGCCTCTTTCAGCGGATCTGGGAATGTTCCCTCACAGAGGGAAGCATTCACCACCCCGCAGAGCCCATCGCCCAGCCCTTCCCGGCTTGCTTTTATTAGCCAGGATGGGCAAGGATCAAAAAGACAGGTGGTTGGTTTCACGCGTCCAAGCAGCCTGTCCACATCCTCAGGGGTAACGGATTGAAATTGGTTCCATGCAACTTGACCAGACAGAGCTCCAGCACTCTCCCGCCCCAGCCCTGCTCCCACGGTGGTGTCTAGCTCCTTCCGAATATGAGTGATTTTATCTGCTTCCCTAAACAGGGCTGCCTTCAGATGTCTTCTAAAAGTTTGGTAGTTATTTTTCTCTTTGACATCTGGTGGGAGGGCGTTCCGCAGGGCAGGTGCCACTACCGAGAAGGCCCTCTGTCTGGTTCCCTGTAACTTGGCTTCTCATAGCGAGGGGACCTCAGTGTCTGGGCAGAATGATGGAGGTGGAGACGCTCCTTCAGGTATACTGGGCCGAGGCCGTTTAGGGCTTTAAATGTCAGCATCAACACTTTGAATTGTGCTCGGAAACGTACTGGGAGCCAGTGTAGGTCTTTCAAGACCAGTGTTATATGGTCTCGGCGGCTGTTCCCAGTCACCAGTCTAGCTGCCGCATTCTGGATTAGTTGTAGTTTCCGGGTCACCTTCATAGGTAGCCCCACATTGAGCGCATTGCAGTAGTCCAAGCGAGAGATAACCAGAGCATGCACCACTCTGGCGAGGCAGTCCGCAGGCAGATAGTGTCTCAGCCTGAGTACCAGATGGAGCTGATAAACAACTGCCCTGGACACAGAATTGACCTGCACCTCCATGGACAGCTGTGAGTCCAAAATGACTCCCAGGCTGCGCACCTGGTCCTTCAGGGGCACAGTTACCCCATTCAGGACCAGGGAGTCCTCCACACCTGCCCGTCTCCTGTCCCCCCAAAACAGTACTTCTGTCTTGTCAGGATTCAACCTCAATCTGTTAGCCGAATGTCACGCTTCCTCCCCTACCCAGGCCACACCCTTCTTTTCTGGGATGTTAGCATCCCAAATTCATATATATGTAAAGGGTTAATTGAAAGAGTTGTATAACTCTCTGACGTCAGACACCCTGTGGCAGTTATGACAGTTATGGCAGTTGGTATGGCAGTGACAGCTATTAACAGTCTTTAGTGTGAGAGCAGCTGAACTGTTGTTCTGCTGTCTGTCTCAGGGTTAGTTAGTCTGTAACAGTTTAATCTATGTGACACACTTTTTGGGACATTACTGACCCCATTCCAGATCAGGGAGTAGCTCTAATGTAAGATGTATTAGCAATTTAAGAAACATTCACCTGCATTGTATGTTTAATCTGCAGCTGCAAGTGTACTAAGTACATACCCTTCAACATCTTGCTGATGAAAATAGGGATATCCCATTTTATTATTTATACCCCACAGATCTTACTGGGTTGCCCCAGCCACACTGGGCAGCTTCCAACAGATACAAAATATATTAAAATATTAAACTTTTTTTAAAAAAAAAACTTTCTAAAATAGGACTGCCTTCAGATGGCTCAGGGGTTGGGTAACTCCATACCCTTCAACATTTCTCCTATGAAAGTAAGGAAAAGCAGTACATTACAGAATCAAATCAGCTTCTCTAAAACAGGGATGTCCCTGGAAAATAGGGACACTAAGAGGCTCTGTAAGTAAAAGTTGTTATTTAAACTTCAAAAGAGTGTGTCTTGAGTAGTTTTCATAGGAGGAAAAAGAGAATTAATAAAAGGGTTAAACCACTAAGGGCTGCCTTCCGCATATTCTGCAAATGGGAACTAGTGTCTAATTTCCACATCACTGACCTAGTCTTGTGCCCTCCTCCTTTGATCTTATGTGCCTGGAATGTGTCCCTGACCTGAGGTAATGCCTCTTGAAAAGGATTCCGCATGTGTTTGAAGGCACACTATATGCACAGGTCTTTTTTCAGGGGGAACTCAGTTCCAGCACCTCTCAGGTAGGTTCTGGCACCTCTTAGGTGGGCATCATTGCCATTCTTAATGAGGGAGGTGTTCATGGAGATTTCTGGACCTTTTTTAAAGAAAAATAGCACTGGGTGTACATCCCAGTTGAGCAGTACATCCCACATATACAGTAATGCCAGAGCAAGAATATGGAGGGCAGTCCATGGATACTTGCAGGAATGCTGCTGAAGACCAGTTTCTGGAAGCCACAGGTGGGAAGAGGGCCTTGTGCTTGGGCCCTGCTTGCAGGTGCCTCATAGGAAGCTGCTTGGACCTGGTGAGAACAGGATACTGTAGTAGATGGCCATGAGCCTGATCTAGCAGGCTCTTCTGGTGTTCTTATGTGATCACAAATGTGTTTGGAAAAGATTCTGGAAAGTTACCTCTTTGCTTCTGTTTTATTCTGCAGCTACCGCCTGGCTCCTGAGCATCTTCCTCCCGCTCAGTACAAGGACTGCCTTGCTGCTACCATACACTTAATTCAAAATGCAGCTTCCCATGGGGTGGATCCTTCCAAGATCATTGTTGGTGGGGACAGTGCTGGGGGCAATTATGCTACTGTTGTTGCCCAGAAACTGGTGGAGAGATCAGACCTTCCAAAACTATGGGCTCAAGTGCTGATCTATGGGAAATTCCAGGCTATAGACTTTAACCTGCCATCCTATCAGCAGAACAGCTCAATGCCCCCCTTGTTCCGGGAAGATGTTGCTTACTTTATCATGAAGTATATTGGAAGGGACACTTCTTTGGCAGGCCAGCTCCTGAAGGGTGCTCATGTGCCAGATTCAATGAGACTGAAATATGGGAAGTTGGTGAGTCTAGACAACCTTCCAGAGAGATTTAAGGTGAGAGGCTACAAACAAGTCCCACTTGCTCCTTATGAACCTGAAGTCTATAGGCAATTGCGAGAGCTATTGGAACCTGATATTTCTTGCCTCTTTGCTGAGGACTCTGTCATCCAGAAGCTTCCTGAAACCCTAATTGTGAGCTGCGAGTACGATGTATTACGAGATGACGCACAGCTGTACAAGAAACATCTGGAGGACAATGGGGTGAAAGTCAGTTGGTTCCATGTTGAGAATGGGTTTCATGGGGTGCTAAACCTCTTTGACGCAGGCCTGTTCACATTGCCTGCTGCAGTTGAATTGATGGACAGGATTGTAGACTTTGTCAAAAACTTATGAGAGGAAATCTCTTGAATTTGTGGGTCTGATAATTTCTCATTTTTCCAATCTTATATTCAGTTCTCCACAATTCTGTTGTCATTTGTGGTTCTTGGGGGCAGCAGGGAGTTGCTCATGAAAATTCACCAGCACTTTTGTGTGAAATTTTCCTAATAAACACTTTTACTTTGTATGGAGTTTTGACTAATATACACATGATTACAACCAATTTGCTCTAATATAATGCACTTCTATATTGTTTTCATTAAGATATGAATTTTGTAAATGGACAATTCACCCTTCTATTGCATTTTAGTACTTATTGGTTGGCTGGAGATCTGTACTGCTAATGCTGTTCTAGGCTGCATCAACTTAAGTATAGTGTCCAGATCAAGAGAGGTATCAGTTCCACACCATTTTGCCTTGACCAGACCCCACCAGGAGGACTATGTCCAGTTCTGGGTGCCGCAATTTAAATAGGATAGTGATGAGCTGGAATGTGTACAAACAAGGAAGACCAAGATGATCAAGGGTCTGGAAACCAAGCCTTATAAGGAATCATTGATGCAGTAGGATAAGTTTAGCTTGGCGAAGAGGACAGTGAGGTGATATAGTAGCCATCTTCAAATATATAAGGGCTGTCACATGGGAGATGGAGCAAACTTGTTTTCTGCTACTTCAGAGGGTAGGACTTGAACCAAGAGATTCAAATGATAAGCAAGGAGATTCAGACTATACATTAGGAATAACTTGCTAAGGGTTAGAGCTGATTAGCATTGAAATGGATTAGCTCAGAAGGCAGTGGGACTGCCTTCATTGGAAGTTTTATCAGCAGAAGTTTAATGGCCACCTGTTAGGGATTTCTGAGTGTGATTCCTGCATTGTAGGTGGTTGACCTAGATGACTCCATGGGTCCCTTTTATCTCTTTTCAGGTATCTGTTTTGGTTTATTGGCCCATATCTAATCCATTAGCCCATCCAAGGCGCAGTCTAACATCTCCACTGCCTTTCCTAATTTAGATGGAACAGAGTGATAGAGATGGGTGTCACCCACACATAGATTTTTCCTCACCGTATCTCTCCTGATAACAACTCCCAGCAACTTGATAGAGATGTTTAAATACCATGAAACACCAGATTCTAGTTTCAACAATTGTAAACAGTTGTGGCATAAAACTCTGTATGGCACTTTCCTATATATTCACCAACAAGCATCTACCTTCAATGAAATCATTTTGTCTAAATGACACCCGCTATCTGGAAAGGATAGCCCCAAGGTGCAATATTGTTGGCAGGTGGTGAATGAACTGAATAAATAAATAATGTTAAGCAATTATTTACTGATCTTGATACAAATACTTGTTACGCAGTTGCCAATGAACCGTGAGCAGTTCAATGTAACAAAATAAGAGGATTCTATCTCAACTGCTCCTGTGAGGAATATGGCAAGGGATGCCACCAACAAATGCAACAAGATGCTGGGTGCAAAGCACACACACACATATTTTATCTATGAAAAGACAGATGGTTGCATTTACTTTCCCAACAGACACAACCACTGAATCAGTCTCCTTGGCGATTTTGCTGCATACATCTTGGTAGCAGTCTAGCAAGATGAGAGGGGAATTTGAAATAGGGAGGTAATTATTTGCTGCCTCCAGTCTTGCCTTTAAAAGCACATTTTTGAACAGCTGTCTTCCAATATATAGTGTATTTGTACATGCAATTTTTAACTGACATAAACCTTTTTATGCGCATGTGCACATCACACAGCTCATGTACTGCATGGTAAGAATCAGTCTCCTTGGTGATTTTGCTGCAGACATCTTGGTAGGACGCTGAAAAGTTGGAAGGGAAATTCTAAATATGAAGCTCTTTCACAAATCCAGGGCTGTTTGTGTCTAACTCTTCAGAGCAGACCCACTGACATGCATGGACATAAATCACAGCACAACATGAACCATGTCTTCCCAGAAGACCTCCTAAATTGTAGTTGGGAGGGTGACATCTTGGCTACTGATGTCAGGAGACTACAACTCCCATCAGTCGCAGATAGGGATGGGTGAATCTGTCAATCTCAGTGTCTCTCGAGTTTCTCATTGTTCTAATATACACATAAGAACCAAATCAGATCCTGCAGGATCAGACCAGTAGTCCATCTATGCTATGTACACCACTATGAGCTGAATAAAGAGAATGAAATCCACTCTCAACTCTGAGTAGATTTCAATCTAGCCCAGCATTCTATTCTCACAGTGGCTAAGCAAATGCTTCTGGAAGCCTGGCAGAAGGAACTGAGCCAAGAGCACTGTGCCTGCCCAAGGTTTCCATCCACTGGTATGCAGAAGCATTGCTACCTCCAGTCTTCCTTTTTAAAGCCCATTCTGGAACACCAATCTTCCCGGACATAATGTTTTTGTACATGCAATTTTTGCTGACATGAGCCTTTTTGTGCACACATTTTGCTGTATGTGAATTGTGAACATCACATGGCTAGAGTACTGCATTGTAAGCTTCAGAGACTGGCTCTGGGTTCACAAATTGATTTCCAAAAGGCAAATTAAATAGGTTCACCTATAAAAGCAAACTCAATCCAATTGCACACAGATATATCCTAGCCTTAAGAGATATGGGGCACCCAGCCAATGGTTTGCAAGCTTTCATTTAATTCACATGTTATCATCGATATGCATAGATGCAAACTTAGGTCCATTTTCAGAAACGGGGGGAAATACCTTGTTATCAGAACCTCTCCTATCAGCATGGTCACCAGTCAGGGATCATGGCTCTTGCATTTCAGGAAGCAAGCTCTGTGAGGGGCACCAGTTGTCTCCCACCACCACCACAATATCAATGTATCTAATAATGGCAAGCTCTCCGGAGTCCCCACTTGATTCTAGCCTTCCTTCCTCCTGAAGCTGCTACTTTATAGGTAAAAAGGTAAAGGACCCCTGGACGGTTAAGTCCAGTCAAAGGTGACTATGGGGTGTGGCGCTCATCTTGCTTCAGGCTGAGGGAGATGGCGTTTGTCCACAGACAGCTTTCCGAGTCATGTGACCAGCATGACTAAAACCGCTTCTGCTGCAATGCGATTACTAGGTTGCTACTTTATAAACTGTTGCAATACAATCTCAATCAGTACCCAAGGGTGTCAGTATTAATTGCTAACTTGTGAAATTGCATTTGGTCTTGCAAATGAAAGCTGGTGCAAGTGCAGGTTGGTGATTTGTGTTTGTGAAAGTTGACCTATGTGGCACAGGTGTGTGTGGTGGCTGTGGGGTGGGATGAGGTGGGGGATTGGGTGAGGTGCAAAGGAGGGGGTGGCCAGGGGTGGGGGGTGGGGTTGGTAAACAGAGCGATCAGGAGCAGCAACCTCGAGTTATTATATGCATGTTTGTGAACCTCTTTGAGCATCTATAAAATCAAGTGGTATATGTATGTTATAAAATGAATCAGCAGTGGGGGGCTCTGTCCCTCCCCAGCTCCCCTAATCCCTGACCATTGACCAGTGGAGATGTGAGACCTGGGAAGCCATGATAACAAGAGCTTCCATATTTTTTTGTTCCTGTTGACCTAAGTAAGCATATATGCGTATAAATTAACATATGCTAATCCAAAATACATGTATGCCCCATGTCTCTTCAGGAACTACCACCAACACTCTTGTATCTCAGCCCTGTAACCCATTCCACATGGGTTTATTGAGTTCAATGGGACTTGCCGTTTCTGATGACAAGAGTTGCTGAACAGAGAGCAGACTCCCTTGGAAGGTGATGGGCTCTCTTTGACTGGAGGTTTCAAAGCAGAGGTTGGATGGCCATCTGTCAGGGCTTCTTCAGCTGTGATTCCTTCACTGCAGAGTGTTGAGCTAGATGATCCCTTGGGATCCCTCCCAACTCTCCTATTCCACGATTCTACATGGGCTTACTTGAGTTCAATGGGGCTTGCCTCTAGAGAAGTGTTCATAGGCTCACAGCCTTAATCTCTTACTGATGCTCCCCATCATCCCAGCACCTCCATGGAAGAACATTAATCCTTTCCTTGGGCCAGCAGATGGTGCTTTGGGCTGATAAACCCTCACAGGAACCCCGTCAAAATGCAGATCTTTGGCAGAGAGGCTGGGATCCACTCTTGGATTCCAGAAACTCTGGAGGAAGCGGATAAAGGCAACCTGTCTGCAGATACCCAGCAGTTCAAGACACTTCCCCTGTTGGGCAAAGGAAAAGTCTCATGAAAATAGTGCCCACATTTGCATCCTATTCACAAGGGGTGGTATCCAAATAAGTCCTATTTAAAGAAGCCCATGGAAATGGATGAGCCCATGTTAACCATGTCCATTAATTTCAATTGGTTAGCTTTGAATTGGTCACCCTAACCCAAACACCCGCCAAGGTACAGAGGCAAAAGAAGCTGGGAAACAAGCTAAGCTTTGGAGAAACAATCCACAATTTCCTTGCTAGCCTATGAGACCATATGTGCTTTCCTGAAGAAACCATGATGCAAACAAACCATGGCTTAGTGTGAATAATATATTTGCCTTTATGTGTGTCCCTCTATAGGCTGAAAAGGAAGCCCTTGTTGAATTTGATAATATCTTCATCACATCATCATCAAGTGAATTCATTGATTTTACTGATTTCATTATGCATGTTGGATTAAGCAGTATAGGAATTCCTTAAATATATAAACTGTTGTTATTGTTATTATTTAAAAATACTGCCCTTCATGGAAGGATCAAAGGGTGGTTCACAGCATAAAAAAACAAGATAAAAACACGAAATACATAACAAAAACAAGCACAAAGCAAATCAATTACGCCTTTAAAAGATATAGAAATGTTATACATAAAAGATATACAAACTAATAACACCTCTCCCTCAAACAAATTTGAAAGGACTTAGAAATGTTTTTGCTTGGCATCTAAAGATGTGTAAAGAAAACTAATAAGAATAAGAATAATTACGGCACATTTCTTAATCATCTTTCACATAAGAACATCAGAAGAACCATCACATAATCTCACATAATCAGAACATCAACAGCAATTTCATGGGTTTGGCAATGGATCAATGTGTGATGTTCTACTCAGGAGTGTCAAGTCCGGCCACTGATCAGTCCAGTTCCATAATGTCTGTCCCAGAGCTCTTCGGCTTTACATACCGGGTGTTCGTTGCCTGAAGTTCACAACATCCCCAGCCAGCTTAAGCCTGTAGTCAGGAATGGTGGGAGTCCTTGTCTGAGGTGGAAGAGGACTTGTGTGCACTGCCTGGCCCAAGATTTCCAAGGCTTCAGACACGAGTCCCATTCCTATCCAGAGATCTCAGGGATGGAACTTAAGCCCTTGCATATTCAAAGCATAGGCTCTTCTTCTGACGTACGGGCCTCATAGCTAAATGCAAGTCTGTGTTGAGATGAAGTTTTCATTAAAATGTTTTCATAAAAAATTTCTTGGGTTTTCTTACGTTACAAAAGCACATACATCACCTCCGTTTTCTGATCATAATGTTCTTTTTACAGATCAGTTAAATTCAATGTGAGCCTTAATCTTGTATACAGTATAAGGTTGGGGGAGAAGTGCGGGGGAAGAGGGTGGGGATAGGGAGTAGTAAACTTTCATTCTTCTACATACTGGATGCACAATGTTTCAAGGTGATTTCCCTTCTTTTGGATGAGATGGATTTAAAGGGAGATTTAGACCATAGTTTAGACCTGCCCCTCTTGCTACGCCCATGTACCTGAGGCCAGATTCCAGATACGTTAGCATTCATTTATTTTTAAACCTCTGAGCCTCCAATCTGTCAGAAACAGGATGCTGGGTTAAATTGCATGCATGCCAAAGGGAGGAAAATCTCCTGAATGACATAGCTGTCCGTAATCATGGCTCGTCATGATAAATTTTTTTTATTTTTTTTATTTTTGCAACATCTCTACTTTATTTAGAATTCAACAATAACAAAGGAAAAACCCACAGTAAGTGTTGCATCAATTCATTACAATTAACCGATTTTAACAATACAGTGGTACCTCGGGTTAAGAACTTAATTCGTTCTGCAGGTCTGTTCTTAACCTGAAACTGTTCTTAACCTGAAGCACCACTTAGCTAATGGGGCCTCCCGCTGCCGCCATGCGATTTCTGTTCTCATCCTGAAGCAAAGTTCTTAACCCAGGGTACTATTTCTGGATTAGCAGAGTCTGTAAGCTGAAGTGTCCTTAACCTGAAGCGTGTGTAACCCAAGGTACCACTGTATATAAATAGTAATAGAAAAATTAC